TATATTTGAATGAATTTGAATTTGAATTACCATATTTATATTGGATTCCGAAACTTCATAAAAATCCTTACAATCAAAGTTACATAGCGGGTTCCAGTGAATGTTCTACCAAGCCTCTTTCTTTACTCCTCACTAAGATATTAACAGTAGTGAAGGAGAAACTTCAAGAGTACTGTGCAACAATATATTCGAGAAGTGGTGTAAATCAGATGTGGATACTTAAAAATTCCAAGGAATTTTGGAAAATTTGAAATCACAAGATTTTACCAAAATCAACAGCTTAAAAACTTACGACTTTTCAACTTTATACACAACCATTCCCCACGATAAATTAAAGTCCAGGCTTTTTGATATCATTGACAGCTGCTTTTTCAATAAAAATGAAACTCGTAAATTTACTTACCTTGTCATTGGTCATTTGCAAAATTATTTTGTTAAAAAACATTCTGATTGTACACACAAGTACTCGGAAGTTGACATTAAAAAGATGCTTGAGTTTCTGATTGACAATATCTATGTGGTTTTTGGAGACCGGGTCTTCCAACAATCTATTGGTATTTCCATGGGTACCAATTGCGCCCCGTTATTAGCAGAGCTTTTTTTCGTATTCATATGAAGCAGAATCTGTCCAAAATCTTATACGTGAAAAGAAGAAAACGCTTGCTGTGGCCTTCAACTCGACATTTAGATATATCGACGACGTATCGTCAATTAACAATGGTTATTTCCATTCTTATGTCGATACGATATATCCCGGTGAGTTTGAGATAAAAGATACCACAGAGTCTGACACATCTGTTTCATATTTGGATATTTTACTTGAAAAAAACGTTAATGGTAATCTAACAACAAAGCTTTATGATAAACGTGATGACTTTAACTTTTTCAATCGTCAACTTCCCTTACTTATGCAGTAATATACCTTCATCATCTGCATACAGGGTATATATCTCTCAGTTGATTCGATACGCAAGAGCATGCTCTACGTATGTACAATTTCTAAAACGAGGTAAATCATTGACAAACAAGTTGATGAAACAAGAATATCAGCTGTGTCGTTTAAAGTCAACATTTCGGAAGTTCTATGGTAGATACAAAGACCATTGAGTCAAATGCTGACTGACGTTTTTCATACTAATTGTTAGGCCATTGTTTACACACTGAATTGTCAACGGATTTTTCCGTTATTTCCCGATCATGACAAGGAGAAAACGGCGGGTGTGACCGGTCGGCAGGGGATGCTCATTCCTCCATGGCACCTGATCCCACCTCTGATGTTTGGAGGTCCGTGTTTGCTCTGCTCCTATTTTGTATTGTTTAATGGACTTTTGAGCTTGAATACTGTTCGTTATTATCTCCATATATTTCATCTGAACTTGATATATTTGTAAAATTCGCAGTCTTTAAGGGTCGCAGATCGTGCGCATGGTCCAAGGTTAAAAGGCCGTAAGTTTTGAAATAAAGTGGTCTGATTAAAATGATTATTTTCTCTATAAAGCAAGGCAAAGCTTAATGAAAATTTAATGTGTCGCAAATAAAGCGGCTATAGTCATTTTCTTATATCTTTAGTGACGGTTACTATACAGACAGTGAAAATATTAAGCAAACACCACAAGAAATATGTTCAAAAATTGACAGAAAAAGCGACGTCGGCCATCCGAACGGAACAGCGTCCAATCATAAATTTATGTTTTAGTTTGGTTTAAACGACGTCAAAGATAAAATATTGATTCAAACAACTTGTATATAATTTCGGAGACACTACAAGAAGTAGAAAACCACTATTATTAAATGAAAATAAGATATCCCTATTCATGACATTGCTATAATCTAGCACAACGTCGGGCTGGTCTTTGCAGCCTTTGTATACGAAACGTTTATGTTGATGACGCTCGTAAATTATCGTGTATTTTTTTTTTATTTTAAAGAATCAATTATGGTCTGTTCATAAATATTGTTGTTCACACTTGGCAATGTGGTATAATACAAAAATGTAGCGTGTCCATGAACACGTGATAAAATTTCAAAATCCATATTTTTGACGTTATAATGAAATTAGCCTTACGTTTGACTTGGCCGTGTGCCTTGCATATACAAAGTATTTAAATGTATAACGTTCTTATAATAGTGTGTATTGTTTAAATTTTTATATATTGATTAAATCATGATCTATTTCAAATATTATCGTACACGTTTGCCAGTGGGGACTTTAATTAAGAAAATCATAGCATTTGTCCACGAACTTTATGGACAACCCTCGTATATTGATGACGTTTTAGGACTTGTTTTTATACTAAATTTGACCATAGAATCTTCCGTCTACCTGATCAATACATAGAGGGCATGACCGGTGTGACCGGTCCACAGGGGATGCTTACCACTCCTAAGCACCTGATCCCACCTTTGGAATTTCCGGGGGTCCGTATTTTATGCCCTGTTCACAGATTTGTATCAATTGTTCGTAGATTTTTTTTTTATAGATCGACCACTGTTCGTTTTCTTTTTCGTCTTTTTCATTTTAAAAAATCTTTTTATGCGAGTTGAACTTTATATTTTCTATTAAAATTCTAACTTCAAATCTACGTAGCATAGGAAAAAAGTGCAGCATTATCAAACATTTATTTTTGTGGTTCGAAACAAACCATTTGAACAATTGATAGATTTAAAAAACATTAGTTTATAAACTTAGATTTGATGGACATTTTTGTGAAAAAGAATTTACATGTTAAATGCAAGCGACATACAATGTAGAGTATCACTTGATAATTGAACAAAGAAAAACAAATGCAATGAAAATGCAATTAAAACAAATAAATGATTAAATAAATAGATAAATAAAACAATAAATAAATAAATCATAAATAATATTTTTTAAAATCGCAAATGTAAAAGGTGAAAATAATGAACAATGATCAATCTCATAAATCCGGTAAACAATATGAATTATAAACAAGGCAAAAACACCAGAGGTATGATCAAGTGCCTTAGAGGAGTAAGCATCCCCTGTCAAATTATCCGCTGAGGGCTCTAGGCATTGATCAGGTATACAGCGTAATCCTGAGTCAAATTAGGTATGAAAGCAACGATAATATATAATATAAAACTTATCAGACAACTTATTTTGTTAAAGGACATTCTATATTCTACATACAACTACTTCGAAGTTGATGTTACAAAGATGCTGGAGTTTCTGATTGACAATATTGATGCAGTAATCTGCTGGAATTTCCACTGGCATACTTAATGGATAATCATGAAGATCAATTTTTCTATCGTCAACTTCCCTAACTTAACTGTTTAAGTACCATTGCCATATCACCTGCATATGGAGTTCAGGCCTGTAGGAAGCAATTTCAGTTGGGGGGGGGGGGGGGGCACAGCCATACATTTTCAGTTGAGGGGGCACTATCAACTACCAAAATTTCTTGACATGCAAAAAAAAAAAAAAAAAAAAAAAAAAAAAAAAAAAAAAACAAAGGTCACCAGACGTTTTCATTGAGGGGGCACAAGCATATAGTATCTGTGTTTTCTATAATAATCTATATATCGGCAAAATTATTGGGGGGGGGGGGGGGGGCGTCCCGGTTCCTATGGCCATGGAGTTTATGTCTCTTAGTTGATTCTATACGGAAGAATATGTTCTACGTACGAACAATTTCTAAAACAAGGCAACCTATTGACAAATAAGTTATGTTGACAGACATTTTTTATACAGATTGTTAGGCAATTATTTTCAACCTACTGGGTCCTACAAGGTATATATATATATATATATATATATATATATATATATATATATATATATATATATATATATATATATATATATATATATATATATATATATGGTAGCCGAGTATTCTGTAGAAGAATTAATTTAAATTTTAAGTACAAAATAAGTTACAATTTTTATCGTGGTTTTGAAGCAAATAAATGCTTAGGAATAAATACATGATTTATAAACTTAAACCTTGAATAGATCCAAACTCAATATGTAAAATACTTTTGATGGGTCATATATGACCCTTGTGGCAGCCAGTGGGTAGAGCCCATATATGACCCCTCTGGCAGTAAGATTGTTATGTCAAATTCAGAATCTGAAGCCAGTCAAGTAGTGTGCATCAATAGATGTATAATCCATGCAAGTTTGGTCAATTGAAAGCAAATATCATCCATGCTAGTTTGGTCAACTGAAAGCATCTATTTTACTTTAGAATGAAACTGCTTCAAAAGCTTTAACCTGGTTACTCATCCAGAAAATGTAGGTCAGACCCAGCATTCAAAGCAAGTCCAGTAGAGTGCAACCTTAGATGTATCATCTATGCAAATTTGGTCAACATAGGGCCAACAGTTACCGGGGAACTCAAGAATGAACCAAAAAACATTAACCTGGTCACTTATCCGGAAAATGTACAAGTAGGTCAGATACAGACCTGTCCAGTAGCGTGCATCCTTAGATGTATAATCCATGCAAGTTTGATCAACAAGTAAGGGCTTAGAGTTACTTTAGAATGTGCTCCAAAAACATTAGCCTGGTCATTCATCGCGAAAATGTAGGTCAGATCCAGCATCTGACGCAAGCCTGGTAGTATGCATCCTTAGATTTATCCATACAAGTTTGGTCTGTAACGGACTTGTATTTACTTGGAAATGCTGCTCCAAAAACTTTAACCTGCTCCAAAAACATTAACCTGCTCAATTTTTAGCTTATATTGCAGCATCTGAAACCTTGAGTGGTACAATGAAACATACCAGAAGAACCATCCATACATCTGTGATTAATATAGGGCATAGAAGTACTTGAAAGAAATCTGCTCCAAAAACTTTAGGATGTCGAAGCTTATGTAATACCCTCAGCCGAAGCTGAGGGTATTACATAAGCCAGCTCCCTCCAACTTCGTTGAGGTGAGCTAGAAACTGACCATCTTCAGAACAATGGGCAGAAAAACAGATTATATCTTTTTAAAAGAAATGAACATATAAAACACTGAAGACTAAAATAAATATTGTATAATTTATACACTAAGTAACAAAAGCAGGTATTCCTTTCATTCAGAAAGCCAGTTAGTCAACTAGAAAACTGACCAGTCAGCAGAGCGGGGTGGGGTTGTAGAAGGATGAGATTATAATAACTTAAATGGGAAATTAAAATGAGACAAAGAAAAAAAATAAAACACATATTGTTTCATAATTTGAATATTTTAGACATTTTCAAACAATCAGAAAATGTGACCTTATTATCAAACTACATGAAAATTATGAATCTTTGTATTTACAAAGGGCAGTGATGAAAACTTATAACTATAATTCTGTGTTCTTGCCATTTACTTTGAATTATTTACTTTGAATTACAATTCAGTTGAATATGCATTTTACCAAAATAAAGTACGAATTTTTTTTTAGATGTCAGCTTTTTTTGCCAATTCATTAAAAGTCTACCCATTACCATCCAGATGGCATACTAAATTAAAACTGTTTACATGTGTTAACTGAGAGTAATGAGACATATTTTGTCTTATTCTCTTATGTCTTAACTCTCTGTGAATACCTGTGTACAAATTTAAATATAGAAACAATCATCAAAAGAACCAAAAAACAAAATCTGTGGATGGATCAACAGAAAGACAGCTGGACAGACAGATTACATGTAATTTCTATAGGACACCTGCAAACCTGACCAGGGACCTACATGGACATATGCATACAATTAAAAATGTATAAATATTTTTTATATCAATTCATTTGGACTCAAACATACAATGCACTGTAGAGATGACATAAACTGCACATGTTCATACCAATTTTTGCAACAAAATCAGATAATTTTAAAATTGACAAGAATAACAAAACAAACAATAAATATATAAATACTCAAAAATTACAATCACTTTGTCTTAAATCTTATGAATTACATACATACATGTGTATGTGTACCTTACATGTGCAGTATACAAATAATCAGATGTAATTACTGCTGTATTAACTATAAACATTAAGTACTTGAGTACAGAATTAGCTGGCTTTGTTTTGACATGCCCTACATCATAGAATGTAAGCTTTTTTCAATTCTTTAACATTTATCAAATAAATGTTCATTCTGAACAGTAGCACTTCTACATGTTCTAAGCATCCTGACAGGTATATATATAAATACACTATGCATGTGGCAAAACAGTTATATTTCTTAAGGAAGATAATTTATATTTCAATATGAATAATTTAATTTTGGTTGTAACACACAAGTTCATTTGCTGGAAAAGTTTATGACTTATAACCTGTGTTCACAATATGACTGTTGTCAAAAACACTATCAATCAGCTTGATGTTGCATTTAAATTTCATACAATTTGAAGTCATGTTTGAGGACAAAATGTTTTCTTTATTACTACATGTTAGATAATTAAATTATAAGGAATTATTATTAGACTTCTTAAAAAAACTTTATTCATATACATGTATGTATATTTTCAACAATGAAAATTATAAAGTTAAATTAACTAAGTTCTCATCCAATCTGTTTCTGACAGGGAAAAAAATATGAAATTAATCTTCAAACATTTTTATCATGCTTAAAGTCTAAGGAGATGTCAGGGATGCTCATTGCTCAAGCAGACAAATAATAACTTAATACATTATTTCTAGTTTTGGCTAGTCTTGATGTACTCTTAGTGTGTTAGCAGGCTGAAAAGTTCCATTATTCAATTGTCTACCTACATCTTGCCTTCCTATCACTGGGTTCAATTGCTGCTGCACAATGGCATCCTCGATGCCGATTGGTGCCGCTGCCCCAGGATCCATTTCCTCAAGATTGTTATCATCATCATTATTGTTTTCTTGAGTCTCACTTGTGACACTGTCTGGGGCATAAATAAGTTTGTGGCAGAGTGGACAGTTATCCTGAACGTAGAGCCACTTTCTAAGACACACGCCATGAAAGTAGTGGTTACAACGTGTTATTCTAGCATTGTTTAATTCATGATAGCAGATAGCACACACATCATTAAGAGTCTCCAGCTCTGATTTAGAGGCCAGTGGCAGAGAGTTAATTTTGTTTACTGCTGTTCGTCGTTTGGTAAAAACTTGCCATCCATTCTTTGCTTGAACCCATATATTACAGTAAGCATGAATACACATCATAATAGCACGTATTGCTCCCCCCGATTCAAAGATCATAATCCAGGCTCCATTGCAAAACAGAAATATTCCAAATAAAAACTCTATAGTATTTCCTGCTGATTGTATATAATACACATAGTCATCTAAGCCTTCCCAGAAAGTGTTTCTGTAGGCATCTAAAAGAAATAAGGCATAAACTGTTAATGACACAATCACTTTTAACATAACTTCCACACTAAATGCAGTCACAGCCAACAACCATGTGCTAACACTATAGTGACTCCATAAATACAAAAGTAAACATGTTGGAAATGTCAATAGAAATATACACATTGAGAGCACCCGCAAATGCCGCACCACATTACTGCTCTGTGATGCACTGAGGGACATCAGAATCGGGTGAATCATGCTGTGGATGAAATGAGAGATGGCAGTGAGAAGCAGACAAAAGTTTTTACAGAGTCTTGCAAGTCTCACATCTGGTGTAAGACCAGTTAGACCTGTTTGAAGGCCCAGAATAAAGAACAGTATCGCAGACACTGTCCCCATGTTGCGATCTTCCTCAGAGTCGGACCCCACACAGAATGCCAAAAAAACACCCACATGATGTGCCAAGAAGGACACTATACTCGTCATGCCCAGCATGGCAACAAAGTTCTCACAGCTCTGTGTGAATAATTTGATAATGATCGACTGATAGTCTAAAGAGTGTAAAGAAGTCAATGCTACTTCTCTTTGGTACAACTCTTCAAGACACAACATGGTGAAATGATAAAAGAGTCTGGATATCCAAAATAATCGTAGCACTTTTGGTACCCGTAGTCTTATCCAGTGATGTTCAACAAATCCTTGAATTCCAATAGCACTAATAGTTATCTTAATCACATTGTATATCCGTCTTAGTGTCCAAACTACAGCTCTGACGCAGATCCATACTTCTGCAGCTAGAACACTAGATGGAATCACTACAGATATCAGTGTCACCCAGGATAAATACCCAATATCCTGGAATACTACACAAACAATTGAAGGAAACATAAAAGATGACATAATTCCCAGTGAAATAAGTGCCCTAATTCCATTCCTGGGTAAAGTTCTTTTCCTTAGGGTCCACATATAAGTGAATGTATAGGACAAGAATATCTGTGTGACTGCATTCTGCATGATGTCATAATAGTTATGTTTGACATCTGAGGAATGTTTGTTGTCCGGTGGTATGGGAAAGTTCTGGTTCCACTGGTATGACATGTAGAGGAGGCTGACCAGAGTGACGAAGCTGTAGATGTCCTGTAACTGACCAGTGGTGAGCAAGAACACACAAAGGGCCAGGACAAACACTGTAACAGAGAGAAAAAGGTCAGTCAATCTCTACATTTAACATTTAGGTTTGCCAAAATCAGTGCAAAACATAGCTACTTACTATGAAGACACACAATGTTTACATTAAGACTGTAATTGATGGAATAACTGATAAACTGATAAATAAATTCTCAAAAATGACGCTCCATAATTACATGTATACTTAATCCCAAGTAAATTCCTAAATTATTTTTTCATAGCATAAATAGATTTATTGATACCCCCTTAAATGACATTATATACGGTAAAACTCTCTTATAACGAAGTAAATGGGACCTGTGAAATTACTTCGCTATATCCGTAAGTCGTTATATCAGTGTAAAAAATTCATTAAATTTTTATAGCTGGGGATCAAAAAAAACTTCACTATATCTGACAGTGAATTTGCAATATCCATGTTCGTACTAAACAAGTTTTACTGTATATAATTATGTTAAACTGCATCACCACTGAGATAAATTTTGTAATGAATTATTGAGATGTTCTTATTGTTTTATCAATGACATTATAATGTCACGTTGGTAATGCATATAACACTTTTTGAGAAGGTGAGTTAACCATGCATCGGACACATACATTGCTTCGGACAACTTTAAGCAATAAACTTTCATTGAACCTGAGTCTCCCCGTGTTTTTACTTGTTTCTGTCTTAAAGGGGAAGATTTAAACTTTTTAATGATGCCGATTTTTATTTTCATGTTGTGATAAAAATACCACAAGAATGGCCTTGAAATTACGTCATATTTTGCATAATCAAAGGGGAGTAACCAGAATTTTACGATTTTGCCATTTTTAAAGTTGTCTTTCTTTTAAATAGACGTCAACGGAACGGGTCAGACCTAAGTAAAATTTATCAATGATTGCCAATTTAACAGAAATTTTTCAAAAATTTTACTTCAATGTTTGTATAATATTTTTTAGAGTTGCTTTTAAGGCCAAACAAAAAAATATGTGTGGTTCCGGTTACACCTCCAAAAAAATTAGGGTAGGTAGGTAGGGATTTTTTTTTTTTTTTTTTTTTTTTTTTTTTAACAAAATGATTTTCTTAATTATTCTAAATAATACTTATCACTACTTTGCAAATGGCATTTAGATGTGGTGTGATAAAATACTAGTCAATATTGGTAGGGGACACCTACATGCTAGCTTGCTTTGGATTTAACACTAATAAACACTTGCACTATGTTGTGCAAGGAGGCCGTCATTGCTGAAACTAAAACTTAAACCGGAGCCATTGATGGAAATTGGGGAAAATTCCGGAAAAAATATGAAAATTGCCCAAAAAAAGTTTAGGGTCGGGGGTATAAAATAGGGACGGTCGGGTAACCGGAACCACACATATTTTTTTTATTTGGCCTAACTAGTATGTTTATTTCACCATAAATCGGACACAAATTAACCATGCATCTGACACTTTACAATGCATTGGTAATCACTTCAATTTTCTTATAAAACCCAAATGACAGCTGTTTTCAGGGATTTTTTAGGGTCTCTTCGGGGCCGAAATTCGGCCCCATTCCCAATGCTGAAAAGTGCATGTTTTTCCCAAAATCATACCTAAAAATTCCCAATATGAAAAAAACGTATTAAGTTGTAAATTATTAAAATAAAATGATGACAAAAAGGTGTTTATGTTCTCTATGTGCGATGTACGAGCCATCCGAGGACTTCCGAGAAGTTATTCGGAATAGTATGGATGTTTGCATGCATACTTTTTAAAGCGGGATCGATGTTTAAAAATTAAAGTCAGGATCGTTATCTAAAAAATAAACGTGCATCATGTCAGTCTCTCCAGTTTGCCTAGGACGGTAATTTTCAGGCTGGGTTGAATCGCTCTTATTCTTATAAATTGGTCAAACAATACCGATTAACCACTCATCTGGAACAAACCCACTATCAAATGTTATTTTAAAGAACTTCTTACATAAAGGTAAAAAAGATGACAACGTATAAATATGTTCATTTACAATGTTATCACACCCTGCGGCTCTGCCATTTTTAAGCTTCTGAACTTCAACAGCCGCTGTAATATTTCATATCACTAAAGCTGGTTTAAGCCAGCTTCATACTATAAAAAATAAGAAAAATGATTAAATATTTGACTTTTGCATGTTTTTTCCTATTTATTTGTATGAAGATATTTTTTCCCAATTTCAACCAAATATCGCTATTTTTCCCAATATTGACGGCCCCGGCCCCTGGAATCAAGGGGTAAAAAAATCCCTGGTTTTTTATGGAAATAGAAATTAGAAATTCTAAATTTTCAGTGAAAATACAAATATTCAATATATGATGACTAGAAGTGGACTCAATTTATTTCTTTAAACTAGATGATGATAACCCATGAGACAAAGGCGCAAGTTGCCATATTACTAGTACTGTAAAGCCATTCTAATGCAATGTGATGCAACTAAAATCTCTTCACATTTGTGGATCGAAATAGTCATTCAAATTTAATTAGAAGGTTAATTTTTAAATAAAAGATAAAAATGTTTCGATATTACTAATTTTAAAGCACTGAGATCAAGGTATGATATTTTTCTGGTTTAAATATCGTATGTCCGATGCATGGTGAATACTGTTCGATCCATGGTTAATTCTGACTTATTTCGAAAAAATCAGTTTTTAATTATATTTTCTCAATAAATAGGGCACCATTGTGTCAAAAATTTAATTTTTAAACCACATACTACATATTAATTTCCATTTTGATAATATTCGGTCGATAGCGATATCGCTAGAACTTGTTGAAGTGCGAGGGTGTCCGATGCATGGTGAATTCACCCTAACAGGTCCAGCACAATACCCTGATAAAGGTATATAGCTTGATAAAGCTATATAGCTTTATCAAGGTATTACAGATACCTTGATAAAGGCATTTTGTGTAATGAAAATACAAAAAAAAATCCTAAAAAAATAAATACTGACAGTCGAGTTCCGAGTTGTCAGTAAATTCACTCATGCATTTAAAGTACTCAAACACAAAGAAATCAGTTTAAAAGTATGTCATGTGAGGAGACATTCTTTTATGCTGTCTTTTTGATACCTGAGTACTTTTTATGCACGAGTGAACACACTGACCACAACTCGTAATTCGATTTTTAAATTTAAATTTTTTTAGATTTTTTTTTGTATTTTCATCACACAAAATACCTTGATCAAGGTATTTGTAATACCTTGATCAAGCTATATAGCTTTATCAAGCTATATACCTTTATCAGGGAATTGTGCTGGACCTGCCTAATACTATCTGACCAATTTCTCTGCATTCGACATTACAGTTGAACAAGTTGATTCTAGTTTTAGACTGGTGAACTTAAACCATGTAAAATAATGTTATAAAAATTACTCAAAAGATACTAACACACAGTCATTATAAGTATCCACATAAAATACTCAGCCCATGACATTGAAGACATTGATGGCTGGTACTGAAACAGAGAAAATTCTGGAAAGAAGGACTTGTTAAGAATGCTGTCCATGACAAATAATGGAGGCAATCTGACTACCAGCTCCCACATGGCTTCTAACCGCTCTCTCCATGTCATCTTCTGATGTGGTCTACGGGTCTTCAATCACAAGTTATTACGTAAAATGCTGTAACGAATAATTCATGACGTTTGTTTCCTTTCGGCTTTCCTTTTTAACCCTATTCAAATGTCAAAACGAAATACAAAATTGTTTTTAAATCTAAAGATAAAATCAGGAAGAAATAAATTTTAATTAAATGTTACATAAAAATGTAATTTGAATAAGGTTTGCTAGTATAAATTATGATATTGAGAATATAGTCTATCTTTTCGTTTTGTTTCATAATAAAAAAATATTTCCGGTTAAAGAGAAAGTTGATTAACGTGACGTTTACACACAGATAAATATCAACAGGTAACTAGCTGAAAAAACACTTTTAAGCTAACTTCATTTCTAGGAAATACACAATTGTTCTATTTTACGTTGGCAAATAGTAAGAGAACTGCGCTACATTAAATACACTGGAAATACCATGCATATCAAAGGCACTTAACGTTACATATTTTTCTTAGTGTAAAAAAATATATAGAGGATATTCAATGTTTTGTTGTGGGATATGGAATTTATTTCACGAGTGGGACAGGATTTTTTGCTATTTTCACGAGTGCGAAGCACGAGTGAAAATATAAAAAAAAATCCTGTCTCACGACAGAACATTGAATTTTCTATTTATTACATTTTCTTTGATTTTCCCTTTGCCTCTGTCTTTTCTTAACACAATGTAATAGGCTTTGACGTCATAGCTGAGCAGTTGAGACGTCATGGCTTAGCAGTTGTGAGATGAAAACATTGTAATATGGATTTTAGCAACATATTTGGGAAGACATTGGCAGTTTTAGTCTCTATCAAGATTGTTTAGTTACTATCTCTATCTTATTACAGACCAGAAATTATAATTTACTTACTTTGATATCCTTTCACACTGTGACAGAATGTCATTTTGGTATCCTTTCACACTGTGAGAGAATATCAATGAATAAATCACAGTATTTCACTGTTGAAAATGTAATAAAACCCCATACCAATGATTCACATTACTGATTAGGTATGGTTCTTTTTTTTCCTTTTTTTCCTTTTTTTTTTTTTACTAAGAATAATATGTAACGTCAAGTGTCTTTGGTATATATATCTAAAGACAGTATCCCATGATAATATAAATGATGTAAAATCATTATGCAACAAATATTACCGTCAGATTTTGGGTGTTAATAAATTAATGTTTATTTCAACATGATAAGATGAAACACCAAAAATTTAAGGGAATTATTATACCTGAATGCTGATTGTGTTTATAAGGTGTTCAGTTCAAATTTTATTTGGAAGAGGAAAGTACAAAACAAGATTACAGTATGTCACAGCTATAAACAGGTCCAGCGGCAGCATTGCAATACTCCTAACTCCATCACTACCCTAACTCCGCTTACTTTTGGGAAACTTCACACGTACTGTTTGTGACATTTTTTCTTGATGCTGAAAACATACAATCAAATGCTGAGATATTATAACAGTCAAGTTCAAGAATGCGTCCAAAACAAATAACAATTACACTTAATCTATTGTATCTAACATATTTTATTTGAACTCAGTAAGCACTATTCCATTGATATCTGCGATATGTGTGACAACATACTCATTTTCATATTTCAGCCATTTTTATGAAGGTCTTTGTCAACAGTTTAACATGACATATACCATATTGAATACTGCTTGTTAATAAAATATTGTAGTTTTTGTCTACATTTGTCCTAATGCACAAAATGTCAGAGATAACATTAGCATGACATTATTACATATAAAATATGTTTAATATAGTTATGATATCTTTTTCTATTGTTGATAGTTTTCTTAAAACACAATTTAATACTATTTTAAATCTTAAAAAACTTTTTTGGGTTTACAAATTGAAGAAAAGGGGACAAAAAAACTAAACTGGGAAAATTTTTTTTTTATTTAATACATTTGCATGTTCTAGAGGGCCCTGGTGGCAGAGTTAGGGATCATTGGGCTTTATGTACTTGGATGTAGCAAACAAGAAACAAATAAAAAAAATAATTCAGAGACAAAGGCAGGGTGTTTTTTTTGATTTTGGTGACAGAGTTTGGGTACTCAGGGATACACTCACTACAGTTGGCTTGAATTGCCTAGAATCTGAGCAATGGGAAGGAGAACACAAGATGCTTGACTGATATTTTCTACTCTATTTTATTAAATTTAGATTCTTCAGCAAGCACCCTCAAATGACAACCTTACTCAGACCTGACAATTCATGATGTTTCCCTTCTAAACAGTCCATAATTGTATAATTGTATAGATAACAAGAAAGTTTTGTATAAAGTGATTGTTAACATCCAGCATTTCAAGTAAAAACAATCTGGACTTTTAAGCACAGTCTTAGGAGATGCAAAGGCACAAAAAGCACACTTCTATGTCAAGTGTGTTTCTTTGATGAAGAGTTTTGTCCTAGTTGTATAGATGTTGAAACTGGCATCTTAGTCATTTTGTGCAAATGACCTGAATTACACTCAAACAGTAGATCCATTGCTCACTGTTCTGAAATTTTAAGGAGTCAACATCTTTATAAAATTCTTCAGACCTTTGATGTACATATCTATAGGTACATCTTTGTTTTTATTTAAAGAATAATAAATTTCTCTCTTTTTTAGAAAAAAATGGGTCCATTTAAATTGAAGAGAGAGTACCTGCTGGCTTCAGTGTGTGTGATTCTAAGGGTACCATCCCTTTTCATAATGGAGGTGTGGTTTCGAACAGATCCTCAGCGAGCCATAGATTCACGTTCTGTGGACCCTGGACATGCTGAATTCATCACAACCATAGTTTACTACTCCAGTAAGTTGTGGTAAACCAGTGTTCCCCAAAATGGCTAATAAGAGTTTGTCAATTGTGAAAATGAATGTAATTCGTTCATCATATATGAATCCACGAGTATCATGCAGATTTATTGTAATGTAACATACTGGTAATTTATGATTTTTATTCATTGCTCTTTGATACTTTGTTCATGATGAATATGTTGTACATTGAAATTCAAACCCTCCCACTTCCCCATTCATGCCCCAGGGTGAGATAGTTGGTCATATCATATATGTTGAAAATCTTAGGTGCACATGGACATTTAACAAATTGTTGCATAATTATTATGAGCAGTAAACCTCTACAAAAATTAACAAAAAAAATCATGGCCCCAGGGTAAAGTTGCACTTGTATTGAAATTTATTAAATAGTGTACCATATCTTCTATGCTCTTGAACTTCTATAATGGAGACAAGTGGTATGAATAATGATTAAACATATATAGAATCCTCAACAAACCTCAACATTCTTGTCATGTGAAGTCAGATTTTTCCACTTCCAGGTGGGGGTAAGGTAGTCATAGCAAGAAAAAACTTTGATAGGTGATGATCAAGTCCCATGGGCTTATTCTTTTTCATTGCTTATGGTGAATATGTGAAATCTTTTTTTCAGTTCTGGCCTTTGCTGTAGCAGTTTTATTAATGCCGCTCAGGAAGTTAGTGTCTCTTTATATGTACATTGTCAGCCTAGTCCTGCTCCTAATGGCACATCACCTAGCACAGATTTATGTGGAAATGGAGGTAGATGAACCAGAAACATACATTTTCAGTGACAGTGCAGCTCTCAAACGATTAGGTCTTCATCTGACTGTGCAATGTGTAATGGCAGCATTCATTGCTTATCTGATTGACATCACCTCTTGGAGACGGTTTGTCCTCCTCGTGTACACCCTTCCAATGATAGCCAGGATAGCAGGCATCCCACTCGCTGCCCTGGAACACATACATCACTTCTGTTCCCTATTTACTGTGATTTTAATTATGTTATTTTTATTCAACAACATTGGATTTGTGCTAGATATAGTCAAAGAAAACTTGATTCGGTGGAAGGCGTTGGCAGACACTATAGGCTGGGTCTCTCTACTCTTCACAGCCTGGCACACAATCCTCCTACCCATTCAGTTCCTTGTCTTCTGGATCGTCCTCTTCTGTACCCAGCTTTATGTGTACATGATTAAGACACCAATAAGCCTGTCACAAGAGGGATGGGTCCTATTTTTTCTGGCCTGTGTGGGTGAGTGTTGTGCCACACCCATCAGCCTTATTGCTCTCTGTATCACAATAGCTTATGCATCATACTACATCCTGACTCTCACTAAACTGTACCTCCAGGGCTGGACAGCATTTACTGCTGACCATGACGTGATGAGAGGATGGACAGAGGGTTTTACAATGATGCTCATAGCTGTACAGACTGGTCTTCTGGACCTTAAACCTCTTCAAAGGGCATTCCTTATGTGTGTATTACTTTTCATTGTGGCATCTTCACTTATCCAGTCTATGTATGAGATGGCAGACCCAATTTTGCTTGCTCTCAGTGCTTCACACAATAAAAATGTATTCAAGCATGTGCGAGCAATGCTTCTTTTTACATTCCTGTGGTTGTTTCCCCTTTACATGACATACTCCATATGCCAATACTTTGACCTAGATTTCTGGCTTCTGGTCATCATGTCCAGCTGCTTATTAACATCAGTGCAAGTTGTTGGATCATTAGTGATATATTCTTTATTTATGTATGACGGACTTCGAACAGAACCGTGGGACTCACTAGATGATATTGTGTATTACACTCGATCATTTGTGAGGATTCTGGAGTTTATTGTTGCAGTGTTTGTAGTGTGTTATGGAATGAAGGAATCCATCTTTGGTGAATGGAGCTGGATAAATTCCTCCATTTTAATTATTCATTGTTATTTCAATGTGTGGCAGAGACTCCAGAGTGGATGGAAAACTTTTCTGTTGAGGAGAGAAGCTGTCAAGAAACTGGAGTCCCTACCGACAGCCTCTGCTCAGCAGCTAGAGGAATACAATGATGTATGCCCGATTTGTTACCAGGCTCTCTCATCTGCAAAAATTACTCCCTGTGGACACTTCTTCCATGCAACTTGCCTTAAAAAATGGCTTTATGTGAAAGATACATGTCCTATGTGTCACAAAAAACTGCATGAAACAGCAGAGGAATCCCAGAATTCATCTGATGACAGGCCTGCACAAAATGATATCAATCCTGTAGAAAATGAAGAGGAAAACTCTGAAGCAGAGACAGAAGTGTCTATTCAGAGTGTGGAAGATTTAGAATCCTCAGAGGACAATTCTGATGACTCAGTATAGTCTTCTCGGGATGAGCCAATGAAATTGCTTGATTCGCAATGAGCTGAAGCTAGCAGTCCATGTGAAATTCAAAAGATGGAAATTAAGATATCATTGTTTGCAATATTTGTGATTTATGAAAATGGCATACATGTGTGTGTACTTGATATATATTTGAAGAAGCCTTTGTGTTACAACATGAAGAATCTATTAGTATATATCTAAGATATACCATATAATGAAGAAATCAACACAAAATGTCGATATAGAGTTACACATTATTATTATAACATGGCATATTTCAGTTCACAACTTGTAAAAACTGACTTGTAAAAACAAATTAATGAAAAACTTTGCTGAAATAATCTTTGAAAGTTTGATGTATTAAATAACCTATAGGTTAAATATTAAAGTGTGCAGTAAAATTTACCCTCTTATATTTTTTAAAGAAATTTTGGAGATTGCTTTGTGCATGTAAGTTACAAAAATGTAGTAAATCAAATATTAGAACAGATAAAATTAAAAACCATCATTCAGGTATTCAAACTCAGATCAAAGTATTCAAGGACACATGGTTGTGTGCGAGCTACAGGTATACGAAGGACATGCTACAAAGAAACTCTTTTCCAAAATCATGAAAATAAAACTATGTTTATATAGGTAAAAGAAATAAGTTTAGCCCTATACAGTTTTATTTTCATTCAAATTTCCCCAATTTCCTTTAAAGTGAAAGTTCACATTTTTAAAATATTTTAGAGATTTAATATATTTTACAAACATGACTAAAATAAAGCCAAAAATATATACCAATACATGCATCACCCGAAAAAGGTTTTCTTGTTATTTCCATATAAACTATTGTCCTGTCAATATCATGTGAATTCAATGCTTGACTTTAACTTATATTATTTCAAAGGTTGTCCATGATAAGTATCCTTTGTATGCTGTAAATAGGGGAATGTACATTTTAATGGATATTTTTTCTTTGCAGTTCAATGGTTTCTTTTCCAAACTCTATAACTCTGAGTAGAGTTCAGATCAGAACACTTGACTTGTGAAGATATTTGAGTATATGTGTACCAAACTGATATAGTGTATTGTGCTTCTAGTCAAAATCAATTTATTTTTTCATTGGTTTGTGAATTAATAAAATTGTGTGTCAAATGCAATTTATTATTGTTATTTAAACCTTATCAGTATCTGACCCAAAGGCTCAAGTGAAGTTTGTCATATATTCTTTCCAACTTGTCATTTTTTCTCCACTACATACCTAGGTAAATTTCAACCAAACTTGCCAATTATAACATATCCTTTGATAAGGTGATTTTAAATTTGTTCATTTGAAAGATCACACTCTTCCAAATCAAGGGGCTTTAGTTAAAATACTTGGAAAATAGTATGGAATTATTGAAAGAAATATGTTACAGGAAAGACGGGACTTCCTTACCTGGAGTAGATTATTTGCTAGGATGAGATCTGAGACAATAAACCAGACTGAGGAGTTATATAGTCAAGACAATATGACAGCTAGCATACATAATTCAAGTAATGACTTCCAGGGTCAGTGTGTGTTGGGTCGATCACAATAGGATTTCATATTTCTGTAGGGAATATTTAAGAAAATTAAGTGTTGAAAGCAGATGATGCAATTTACAAATAAGACCAGAGTGAACCAGAAAATACAAAGTATAATTGTATATTTTGCATAATGTTTTAAAGTTTAAATTTTTGCACTACATATCGTACAAAGATAAAGATGTTGATATTTTTATGAGCCAGACAGAGACAACGTACGTCGTCCTTGTAGGGCCATCCATGTGTCTGTCCACCCATCTATTTTTTGAGGAGACACATTTCACAAAAGTGATCATCGGGCAACAGTTATGAATATTATACAAGATGATTATATTCATAATTTTGATTGGCTGAAAGGACGTCACGTGATATTTGTCATTTTGTGATATCATCGCGAAAGCGAGTCTGCAGAAAATGATATTGCATGACACATCGTTCGGTTGCACTAAAGTTACGTAGAACGTGACGTCATAATATAAGAAGCGTGTTTTTAACCATTGTGACGTAATGACAGCCAAGTCTGTTCAGTTAGGACTGTGTCATTGCATTCACTTTGAGTGATTATATAAAATAACTATTAACTATTGAGTGATTATATAAAATAACTATTATGGACTTCAGTGAACGGTCAATATGTGGTTATAAGGACTCATGGCATAGAAAATGATAGCGACCTTGCAGGCTCGGTCGCTATCACTTTCTGTGTCTTCGGTCAGTATCAATTGCCATGAGTCCTTATAACCACATATCGACCTACGCTGAAGTCCATAATTGTATATTGATTGATTCTTATTGTTTAATGTTGGGTCAGCAATATTTCACTCATGTTTTGGCGGGCAACAGTTATATAGGATTGATTGTTATTGTTTTACGCCGAGTCAGCCATATTTCGGCGGTTGAATACTTGGCATCACAGCCTGATGTATATGAAATGTACACTATGTATGAGGAACGAAGTTGGGGGAGCTTATGTAATACCCTCAGCGTTGGCGTCCCAGGTTAAGGTTTTTGGAGCAGTTTTCTTTTCAAGTACTCCTATGACCTATATTAATCAGAGAGGCATGGAGGATGCTTCTAGTGTGTTTCATTGTACCAGTCAAGGTTTCAGATGCTGCAATTTCAGCTAAAAATGACCAGGTTATTGTTTTTGGAGCAGGTTAAAGTTTTTGGAGCAGGTCTCATTTCCAAGTAACTATAAGCCCTATATTGACCAAACTTGCATGGATGATACATCTAAGGATGCACACTACTGGACTTGCTTCGGATGCTGGATCTAACCTATATTTTCCGGATGAGTGACCAGGTTAAAGTTTTTGGAGCAGATCTCATTTCCAAGTAACTAAAAGCCCTATATTGACCAAACTTGCATGGATGATACATCTAAGGATGCACACTACTGGACTTGCTTTGGATGCTGAAACTGAACTATATTTTCTGGATGAGTGACCAGGTTAAAGTTTTTGGAGCAGATCTCATTTTCAAAATACCAAAAATCCCTATATTGACCAAACTTGCATGGATGATACATTTAAGGATGCACACTACTGAACTTGCTTCAGATGCTGAATCTGACCTATATTTTCCGGATGAGTGACCAGGTTAAAGTTTTTGGAGCAGATCTCATTTCCAAGTAACTAAAAACCCTATATTGACTAAACTTGCATGGATGATACATCTTAGGATGTACACTACTGGACTTGCTTCGGATGCTGGATCTGACTTATATTTTCTGGATGAGTAACCAGGTTATAGTTTTTGGAGCAGATCTCATTTTCAAGTAACTTTAAGCCCTATATTGACTAGCTTGCTTCGATGATACATCTAAGGATGCACACTACTGGACTTGCTTCAGATGCTGGATCTGACCTATATTTTCTGGATGAGTGACCAGGTTAAGGTTTTTGGAGCAGATGTCATTTCCAAGTAACTTTAAACCTTATATTTTCCGGATGAGTAACCAGATTAAAGTTTTTGGAGCAGATCTCATTTCCAAGTAACTATAAGGCCTATCTGAACCAAACTTGCATGGATGATGCATCAAGGGACGAACAATCTCAAAACTTGCTTCGGATGCTGGATTTGACTATTATTTTCTGGATGAGTGACTAGTTTTAAGTTTTCAGATAAGTCTATTCCCAAGTAACTGCAAGCCCTATCAGACCAAAATTGCATAAATGTTGCATCTAGGGATGCACACTCCTAGATTATTAGTTTAGTGTGGGACTTTGCCTTACTCGGTATTATTGTGTAAAAACAGGTCACAATCAGTATATGATGAAATATTTGAGAAACGGGGAACACAAAAATTATTTTTGCATGGCTGATGACGGAAATCTTAGGTTTATCTGGCTTATTTAGCTCACGTGTGACGTCATAGTTGGTTTTTCCCGTACACGAGAAATGTAAAATATTGACATGCTTATGTCTTCTATAACGATGTCCTGTGCAATATTGAAGTCAGCTTCACCATTTTAAATTCTTACAGTTAATCAATAATATGAAGGACTTGCATTTCAACGTAAATTTAAAAATATTGAATGATAGAATTTTTTGCAAATTAAGTTTTTTGTATTTGTCTATAAAAGTACGTAATTTCCCCTATCCAGAGGCAGTATGATATTAGAAACTTGCTTTTTCGAATTTTAAACCCTATTCATACTCTGAAATATTTTAAAAGACACATGTCCACTTGCATATTTTTATCTATGCTTAAAAAAAACATAATAGACAGAGTAATGGGCCCGGAAACTTAATTCGTACTTAATTAGAAATATACAAAATATAAAATAAAATGAATGACAAGTATTTTTCAGTTCAAGGTCCTTCTTCCACGTAAAGATTCTGAAATGCATATATAGACTTCATGTTTCAAAACAAAAAAAAATGGTAATAATCTTCTATCAAAGAATAGTAGTGCTGACTTCATAATAGCTAATATAATTTGGTATTTCTGAAAAAAATATACTTCAACTCCTACATGTATTTATAATTGTGATGTTCTGTAATAATTGTTAAGATATAACAATGCCTTTGAATGAGGATCTGCTTTATATTTAAACATGTTAGAGAATTTTTTTTCAAAAATTGATACAAAAAATAATAAAACAATTATAGCTTTTAAATTTAGTACTCTTCTTTAATTACCTCTTTCAGCATAAAGGAAAGGATCCGTTTAGGGTTAGCAAGTTTGTATTATACTTCATTGAATCGTATTTCTGTGTATATTTGATTTACAAAATAAAGAATGGTTTCGACACGGCGATCAAAAGAATGAAGATTAAATTTTCCACATGGATTTTTTTGGTGAACATTTTTGGTATCTCCCCAGTGGTAAAGCCAATTTGTGATTACTTACTTTCACCACAGCAACTTTTTTCATTTGTTTGGCTAATTTTGCATACAGGGTATATTAAAACATAGCGTATAATACCAGTGCTAACCTAAGAAAAGTTGAATGGATGACATTTTTGGCTGTGTTTCTTGGAGAATGCTGCAAAACATACACAGGACTCATTTCTATGCGCGTCACTGCTTCATATATGGCTAACTATCTCTTTGTTGTGGTTCACGTTTTCTTGCATGGTAGGAAGAGGTTTGCCACGCGTTTTAATCATTCAATAGGAATAACGATAGCTGTCCTTACTTTTGTGCTGACTGCGTCAAATGGAATTTTAGTGCCGTCAAATACTCGTGAGAACACATTATTAAAAGTTTCCATCATTAAAATGACTTTATTTGTTGATGTCACAACTTTCCTGAATTTGATGTATGAATTAGTCGATTCAGACATTCTTTCATTTAGCACGATACCAACAAAATTATCCAAACACGTCCGAGGTCTTTTGACATATGTTTCCGTGATTTTCCTTTGTGCAATTTACTTCATCATCCCAAAAATACTTATGCAAATATTCAAATTTTCTGTAGTGTCCAGAAATTTATTCGAATATCAGATAGATTCTAATTCAAAACAGTGTCTTTGATTTCAATATGTATATGCAGAATGAAAATTTTAAATGTTTTAGCAGACATGAAAGCTTCTTGTTCAATAAACATTGTAATCAGTGTATTTGTAAGTGTATTAGAGCTCTGGTAGATTACTCAGAGTATGTGTCTTTATAATTTTCATATATATTACATGTACAACATAAATTTTCGTAAATTATCTCTATTTATTATAACAATCATATTGTATTCATTGTTTGTATAACAAGGAGAGGATTTATTAAGTTGAAAGAACTTGTATCCAATCCTTTTGTGCGTATTATTACAATAAAGTATGTTCAAATCAAATCATATATTTATTATATGATTGAATAATTCCCATAGTTATTTCCATACATATGTCGATACGATATATCCCCGTAAGCTTGAAATGAAAGATACCACAGAGTCTGAAACAACTGTTTCATATATTATCTATGGTCGATACAGACTTGTCAGCAAATACAATCTATCATAAGTCATATGCTAACTGACGTTTTTCATACTAATTGTTAGGACATTATTTACCATACTGAATTGTCGACGGGTTTTTCCGTTATTTAACGATTATGACAAGGAGCACACGGCGGTTGTGACCGGTCGGGAGGGGATGTTCACCCATCCATTACACCTGATCCCACCTCTGATGTTTTTGGAGGTCCATGTTTGCTCTGCTCCCGATTTTTATTGTTTTAATGGACTTTGAGCTTGAATACTGTTCGTTATCTCCATATTTCATTTTACATTGCACCTAAAATAAATAGAATTAAAAATTCCAGATTCCAGATTAATACAATTGCTCATGTTTATTTTAACCTTTTTTTTTCTCTCATTATGTTTGGGTTTGAGACTGTATAACATACGAATTGAAATCCTAATTCCATAAATTGGGATCTAAATACGAAAAATGGAATTTCAAGAACAAAGTTGTAGACCGACAAGTGCATATAACAGGCCCGTAGCAACGGTTTCAAAAGTAGGGGGAGGGGGCGGGGCAACTTCCCCAAAAAAAACCCTGACAAGCCAAAAAAAAAAAACTAATTTACTGTACAAATCCTACAATTTGCCAGTACTCGACCTTACAACGTCAAAAATGGGGGAGGGGGAGGGGCAACAAGCATCTAAAGGAAAATTTACTATCGCAAAATACTCAGAAAAATGGGGAGCCCCCCCCCCCCCCTTGCGTTCTACGGGCCTGTAAAACGCAGATTGAAATCTCTTCTAGTTATACGAATCGCATGAATAAATTACAATTTCATAATTCAGTTTAGTTTTGAGTGGTGTGGAATCATATTTCTATTTGATTATCACATGCTTTTCTATCACAGTCTTACTATCTTTGGATATTTATCTAGGCAGGAAAATGCTTGAACAAAATACAATAGCAAATAAATATCTGACCACACTTAGATTTATTTACATCTCTAACAATGCTAATTTTACATATTCCTTGAAACACTATAATTAAGTTGTATTAGACATGAATGTACATACTGCATCTTACATTCAAGTACTGAAAGTAGGATTTCCAGTTAACTACTTTCTGTTTGAATTTGTAGTAATTTGACACCTGTTCTTTTTTAGAAGAACAATGTTTCATTTTATTTTTGTAAAAATCACAAAACCTGGTTAGCTGGATCTATTTAAAGAACAAATCATAGAAAGTGACTCGATTTTAAGTCACTAAAAGAGGTGTATTAGCAATGTCAATGAAAGGTACTCGAGGTCACCTTTTCTCGGGACTGGTTGTAGTCCTGAAACTGCCAGCTTTGTTTCTTTTTGAGCTCTGGTGTCTTTCAAGTACCGAAAAATATCTTTATCAAAGGATCTTAGACTTGGCAGGTTTGTGGACCTCATTCCATTATCAGTACAATTAACTTTAGTTAACGTTTTTAAAAATGAAAATTATGATAATGTATGTATATCTGTTTTTTAATGAAGAAACAGTTTTGATGATTTGATGCCAAGTAATTGTCTATATTTGTATCTTACTTTTTCAGTACCCATTGCATCCACGGTGTTTGTATTCCTTCCACAGTCCCACATTCTCCAGGTTTACAAGTTCCTAGCTAGTGTAGCTGTACTGGTTTTTATTCATTTTCAAACCAAAAAGGTTATTGAAAGTGACGCAAGCATTGGATGCACTGACTTGTTCAACAATTCTTTTCTACTTGGATTTGCAGGGCAATTAGTTGCATATTTGTGTAACGAAAACTCAAACCACAACTTATTTTTCATGGGACATATCATACCAATGCTGACAAAAAGTATTGATCTTCCTTTCAGGATTAACCAGTGTTCGCTTTTATTGACCAGTGGCATTTATTGTTTGTATCTGATTTGCAAAATAAAGGATGGTTTCATTTTTGCAATCAAAGAAATGGAGACAGAGATTAAAACTTGGAATTCTTTAGTTAACATTTTTGGTTTCCTCCCTGTTGCAAGGTTGATATCTGAATCCAGACTTTTAACACAACAGCTTTTGTTATTCTGGTTGACGTCTTTTGGATACACGATTTATTACTACATAACATATACCACCAATTCCAATGTTCTGTCTATATCAAAAATGGATTGGTCGACATTTTTTGCAATTTGTGCGGGAGAATGCTGCAAAACGTATTTAGAACTTGTTTCAATGTGCGTTGCTGTTTCATATATAGCTAATTTTCTGTTTCATGTAATTCACTTTTACGTCCATGGTTGGAAGGAACTTGCAACAGGTGTTGATCATTCTGTTGGATGGACGATCGGTATCCTGACATTTGTGCTGTCCGTGGCAACTGGAATTCTAACACCATCAAATTCCTTGCAAAATATGCTCAAAAAAGGTTTTATGATTAAAATTATATCAATTTATGTGGCATCCAATTTTCTCAATTCGGCGTATGAATTTGCTGATCCCGCCCTTCTTTCACTGAGTGCAATATCAACAACAAAAGTATCTAAACACATTCAGGGTCTCATTTTTTATGTCTTTATTATAGTTTCCTTCTCATACATACTTTACATCGCTTGGCAAGTTGTTGATGTTTTCCTGACTATACCAGTAATTATCATAAGTCTGTCCAACAGTATCCAAGCGATAGCTTCTATCATGATATATTTATTGTTTGTTTATGACGGGCTTCATGCTCATCCTTTAGAGCACTTAGATGACATAATTTATTACATAAGGTCCACTGTGCGTTTTCTAGATTTTGCAGGGTCAGTTGTTTTGGCTTGCAATGGAATATGGTTAATAAAGTCAGGTGGACTTAGCTGGATCCAATATCCATTTTTCGTTTTACACTGCTATTCTAACGTGTGGGAGAGATTTCAAAATGGCTGGAAAAACTTCATGTTACGGAGAAATGCTGTGAAGATGGTAGATGCCCTTCAAACTGCGACAGAGGAACAGATTCGTAACCACGATGATGTGTGTTCTATATGCCTTTGTCCGATGTCATATGCTAAAATAACCAGATGTGGACATTTCTTTCACAGATCTTGTCTTAAAAAATGGATGTATGTTGGAGATTCTTGTCCACACTGCCTACAGAAACTTTCTATTGTTCGTCAATCCTGATACATCAGAAATGTCATTGGAATCTTTTATACAATGTATCTATTGAAGAGTTTTTGAGAGAATGTAAAACTTATTGGGAAAAAGAGCTAATTTTTGTATGTTTTACATATTGTGTATTTTGATTTAATTGAGATACAAATAACCATATGTATATATATACTTTCTTTTTATTGATTTATTCTATTACAGATTGAATAATAAAACATTGCTTGCAAAATTGATTTTCATCAATTTTTATGATTCATAAATCGTTATGAAATTCATGAAGTCCTGATGATGTAATTATTATCTGAAAAAATTCAAATATATACATACAATTACTTTAGCATTTTTCATTTTAAAAGGCTTGATGTCTCCTACAAAAACAACACATAAGTGTGCAATATTTATGTATTTATTAATGTGTTAAGTGTATTGTAATATTTATTACAGCGTTCTGCAAATGTTTCTGGGGCGCTAATCGATAGAAACTTCATTTACCCTATTAACATATACATGTAGAATTTCCTCTGACACTTGACATCCTGGAATGCTAATAAAATGTGAAGATCATACTCAAAAGTCTAGTTGAAAATACAAATTATTAACAGAGCCCACAGAGACATCTGACAACAGTGTTGGAATCAAGTGCCATGGATGAGGAAGCATTCCCCTGTTGACCGATCATACGCGTCGTTTACTCTTTCTCATGATTAGGTAAACGAGAAAACGCATAGAAAATTCAATCAATATTCAATATAACGACAGACCGAATTTGCAAACAATTGCAAGGTCATTGTACACTAATTTTGATATATAAAACAGCATCAAGCTAACAAAAGAAGTATTAACATCCATTTAGCATCAGCATATAAAAAACTACACTACCAGGATCAGCATCAGAAAGCAAAGGATAGAACTAGCATAACTAGCATTGACCTACTTAAAATCAGTGGTGACCTATTGGCTCAGAAAATCGACGAGGTTTGTTTCTTCAGTAAAGTAGATGTAAAACATAAAAGAAAATAGTTCAATGATTTTAAATCTTAGTATAAAAATATAATTAAAAAAATTACTATATCAAGCTTTTTTGATGCTTAAAACTGTGATGGTAAAATTCAATTATCTACATCTGCCAGCATGATGTAGAATTCGGTCGCATTAACCTCGTTCTGAAACAGCAAAGGTAGCATCTACATGTGGATCAGGATAAGATAATTAACATTAAATCAGCAAGCAAAGGAAGCATTCAAATCAGCAAATAAAGGATTTTAATAAATCAGCAAGAATACTTAATTAAAATTAGTTTTCTGCACTGCATCGAACAAATAAATTGCAAAATGTTGACTCTAAACGGAATTGTTGATGTTTTTGCATCATTAACTTATTTGTCAAAAGCCTGCCATGTTTTAGAAAATAGATGTAAGATATGCTCTTGCATATCAAATCAACTCCGAAACAAAACCTTCATATGCATGTGATAGAGAAACTGTAAAGTCACTATTTTCGTTGGGGTTTAATTTTCGTTGTTTTCGAGGTAAGATGAAACTCACCAATTCATGTCCTCTACGAATTGAAAATTTTTATATACATAACTTCTTCCAAGAAATCAAAACCTCACGAACCAATATTTTCCCTCAAACCACTAAAATTCGGCTGCACATAATATGTTACTTTACAGAATATTGCTACGTAGATAAGGTAAGTTAACGATAGAAAAGTTGAAATCATCACATTTCTCATAAAGTTTAGTTGTCAGTTTACCATCAATGTCTTTCTCTAATAAAACATCCAAATATTAAACCGATGAATGAATGAAAAGCACCGAACAAATTGAAGCTTTTATTAATAGACAGATAATGTAAACAGAAAGGAATCAGTTGACACATCATACACCCCTGTTATTGTATTTGGAACATTTTATTTTTCGGTGTTCTGCAAATTATAATACCCGAGGAGTTCGCAGTAGCTCTGGCGAGATTTGGTGAGACTACAGCGAGACCGTCGATGGATAAGGTAAATTTTTCACGGAAATGTAGTTAGGAAGTGACTAGAACGTGGAGACATGGTAAACAGAAAAGTTATATTAAATTTTCAGTTTTCACCACTGTATAATATCAGTGGAAATATACTTTAATATCCGTAGAATTCATTCAAACTTCCCTAAGTCGCCCGCGTGGCGCAGTGGTTAGAGCGTTCGCTCTAGAGTCGCAGAGTGAGGAGTTGATCCTTACGTCGCGGGTTCGAATCCCACTGCGGTACGTGGAGACTGGTCCTTCGGATGAGACCGTATAAACCGACGTCCCCTGTCGCAGTAGGTGCTGGCACAAAAAAAAGATCCCTCACTGCTCAATGGCCCTGAGTGCCGAGTATAGGTCAAAATTTGTAGCCCTCCACCGACAAGTGGTGGCGTCTCCATAAGAGTGAAAAATTCTCGAGAGGGACGTTAAACAATAAACAAACAAACAAAAATCAATCTTCCCTAATAAGTATTCTTTATGACATTAATATTTTCAGCAGTTAAATATTATAACATTTAATATGACCTTTTTGCACAGTAATTACGTCTAACACATAAATCAATTTTTCAAGTTTTTCCTCTAATATATTTTATCCAGATAAATTATGGGAACAAACACAGTCTATTTCATCTTGAATAGTCACATTAAAATTTATGACAACAAAAACAAGTTTCAAATTAATTCGCATAGTCAATTATTTGACCTTTCTGCACTCAAAAATGTCATTTTCTGGCATTAAAAATTTAACGGGCAATAAAATCATTTGAAAATAATGACATTTTTCTGAATTTAAGCAGAATGGTCAAAATTATCTTATATATTCAGAAAAGACAATTAAAAAAGGGGGTCTGTGATGTTAATTTTTAGATATTACTAAAATAGTGTTAATTTTAAGCTTAAAGTGGGCTATTTTTCCAGGACTTTCACAATATATTTGCTAAATTTGTCAAATATGATGATAGATTTCATGATAGTTAATTTAATATATAATTTAGGACTAGCATAAAGCATTTCACTGCACAAAATAACTCTGTGTGCAGAGTGCATGTAGAGAAAGGAATCCAAACTTAACAATACTGTAAATACTTCGAAAGGGAAAAATTGATCATTTTCTTCTTAAAAAAACCTTTGGCCACAAAAAATAATTCCTCCCTTAATGCTTTCGGTATGGAATTTAACCATGGGGTTTTATTTGAATATTCATGTAGTTTAATTAGCACTGTAGAATCCAAAAATATCGTAAGAACGAAACCATTATGCAGATTTTTTTAGATAGAGGTCAAGACAAAAATCTGCTCAAAAGCTCAGTTACGAACCTCTTTGACAAAAGTTTGTCATTGTAGATGACTTAACTTTTTCTTCCAACCTATTGGGCGACTTTGGAAAAAAAAAATAGGCCGCTACTGAGCTCCAATGTTGGCTCACACAAGCGATGATTAAGTAACATGAAATATTAAAAAAAACGAACAGTATTCAATCTCGAAATCTCAAAATTTAGAGGTGGGATCAGGTGCCATGGAGGAGTGAGCATCCCTTGCCGACCAGTCACACCCGTCTTGTTCTGCTTGTCGTGATCGGGAAAATATGGTTTTTAATCCACCACCCTTTCCTTTGTGTCAGAAAGGTCTGGCATCTTCCCAAGTCAAGACTGGTTCCTGATCTACTCCGCTCCATATTACCATAGCAACACCTTGAATTTTTAAGAATAAACTTTTGTATAGCTCTTCTAAACGTTGTCTCTTATGATGAATAAATGTCATATTTATTGAAACACCATAATTCTCATTGTGTCTAATCTCAGAGAGATTAGTATTAGAGTCTGAGCTCATAGCGTAACATGAGGTATAGAACATTATGCAGCGTTTTACATCAGATGAAATTTTTCAGATTGCTAGCTATAGCAACCATGCATTTAACGATGGACACATAAACATATTAAGAATTTCTTTTGAAGTTATCATTTTAAATGTTGCTGTGCTGATTAATTTTTTTTTTTTATAAAGTGAGATACAATGTGAAGATACACTCTAGCTTCCTAAGATGAATATTTAAATTACGCAAATAATATCATGAATATAGACTAAAAATAATTTCAAATAATTCTCAAACTTATAACCAATTTACCAAAAATTCAACAACCATCAAATTTCAAAAAGTCCAATTACTCAGTTAAAAGTCCTTTAAATTGACAAAACGTCCAAAATTGTGCTGGAGTATCCCTAGTTCTTCTTCTCGATCATTCCTTTAGACTGACTGTGTTTCAAGGGTAAGGATAGAAGTTAGAATTTTTTTTGCATTTTTGAATTTAGATTTAAGAAAGCTTTTTCATTTTATTTATTTTATTTTATTGTAAGAAGAGCCAGGGACGGTAGTGAGTGATACAATTGAGTAATAAAAGGTTATTGATTAAGGAGAGCATAACAAATAGTGATGTTAAATAAGAATCTAAGGGATGGAAATTTTTAATCACTGTGCCCCACACACTCTTCTAGGGTCAGGTTGAGCTGTATAACACAAGCCGTGTCAGAAAGATAAGACAACGCCTAGAGAGTCTCAGAGAAAGTAGCCCGTTACACTTTGCCTACCTCCAACAGGCCCGTAGAACGCGGGGGGGGGGGGGTGTAGTATTTTGCTATAGTAAATTTTCCTTTAGATGCTGGTTGCCCCCCTCCCCCACTTTTTGCTGTTGTAAGGTCGAGTACTGGCAAATTGTAGGATTTGTACAGTAATTTATTTTTTTTTTTGCTTGTCAGATAATTTTGGGAAGTTGCCCCCCCCCCCCTTTTGAAACCGTTGCTACGGGCCTGACCGAGGCTTGTTGGTATCAGAAATCCAGTGAAACGAATAACTCTAACTACAAAGATGGTGAAGAGGACCTCAAAAATATCTAGACGAGAGGGAGTTATGTTGACAGTGAGGAGATACAACAGGTTACAGATGATGAGGTGAACATGATTTCCCTGAGTGTCACTGACGGAGAATCTATACAGACCACAGCATACGAATAAGCGTCATTTTATGAGTGACACTAAGGGTAATCGTGTTCATCTCATCTTCCTAAGATGACCCTTATTTTGGTTTCCTGATCTGTAGATTCCCCGTCAGTGACACTCCTCTGATGAAGCAAGAAACAGTTCA